AAAAAAGAATATATATATATATATTGTTATTGATGTACATCTCATTCATGATAGAGGTAGGAAGGATATATATTGACTCGCTCTCTCTCTCTCTCTCTCACACACACACACACACACTGTAATCCATACAAGCAAACACCCGATTACTTTTTATTTTTTTCTTTATTATTATTATTATCTCTCTCTCTCTCTTTGGTGTTTACTCACTCACCTCCATCAAATGCTCTCGCTGCTCTTCTCCGCCTCCTTCTTCTATGTCTGCGGCTTTATTCTGGTGGTGGGTGTACTGTGTGTGGCCTGGTGGAGTGTACACCGAGTAGCCCCAATGGATCTGCGCGGCTGCTGTGCGTTAGTGACCGGCGGGAGTTCAGGCATTGGATTGGAGATTGCACGGGAGTTAACACGATGTGGGGCCAACACAGTCATCATCACAGCGAGGCGAGAAGAAATATTACGACAGGCCGCCGCAACACTTATGAAAGGCGAACACCAAACACGTGTCTTGCCAGTCGTCATGGATGTATCGGATGCCGACTCTGTAGAGATGGCCGTGCAGACAATCAATAAGATTCTTCACAACAATGAATCCACAGATAATAATAATAATAATAATAATAATAATAATAATAATAATAATAATAATAATAACAATACAACGGACGGAAAAGTGGCAGTGGGTATTGATCTTGTAATATGTAATGCCGGTTTTGCCGTACCGGCTCGCTTTCTCGACACCACTCCAGATGAGGCACGTCGTTTGATGGATGTTAATCTCTTCGGTGCTATTCACGTGGTGCGGGCCCTACTGCCATCGATGTTATTACGCCGGCGTGGTCGAATTGTGTTTGTGAGTAGTATGGCCGCTCGCTGCCCAATCGCAGGATATACAGTGTACGCCGCCGCAAAGGCAGCCGTGCGGGCCTTTGCACATGCACTCGATATGGAATTAAGTCCACTCGGTGTGCGTTGTCAAGTCATCAGTCCACCCGATGTGGATACACCAGGATTACACACAGAGAATCTCCGCAAATGTGCAGAGTGTACGGCAGTGTCTGAGTCTAGTGGAAATGCACCCGTTAGCGCCAACACCGTCGCCCGTCGTGTGGTGGCGAACATCCAACACTATACTTTCGATACATGCATTGGCACAGATGCGGTGCTTATGAGTTGGGGATCAGCCGGTATGGAACCAGCCACAAGTGTAATGGCGTTGCTCGCCCAATTTGTGCTTGGCGGTTGGCTGCGACTCGTCATGGCCGCACATTCAAAACTACACTACGGTATTGTGCAGCGTGTACGCAGAACGGAGATGCAGGAGAGCACAAAGAAGACATCGTAAATCAGATGAGGGGAGGGGAAGAGTGATAAAGAAAAAAGAATATATATATATATATATATATATATTCTCTCTTGTCCCTCTTTTTCCCTCCTTTTTTTTTCTCTAGCGCATACACATAGATAATCTATGTGCTTTATATTAGTAAGGCGTGCAGGTGATGGTGAGGGAGTGGGGGGTGAAAGTAGAAGGTGGAAAGAGAAGAAGAAGAAGGAGAAAAGCAAAAGCAAAAGCAAAAAAAAAGGTGGATTGTCCATCTACGGGGAATGTAATGCATTCCAGACATAGTGGGGTTGTTACTCATATCTTTTTCTTGTCATGTCGTTCCATTTAATATCACTACTTCACCCTCCTTTCCCCCTCCCTCCCTCCCTTTAGACCAAGTGTAAGGTTGGTCACTCTTGTTTTATTATTTCTCTTCTTTTTTTTTTCTTTTCTATTGACATCATTCTTCTAACCGTTATTGTTTGGATTTAACAAGTGCAACTCGGTAACACTACCACGACATGTCGTACTTTTTCAAGTCAAAGATCCCCCGTGCGTGGAGAATTACTGCCGTTGCAACTACAGGTGTTATGATCATGGGAGTTTCCTTTAATACATGGAAGACACTCTCAGGAAAGGTTGAATCTATTCCAAAGTTTGATACCAACGCTATTGTGCGTGTAGAAGAACATGCCCGATACCCTTGCAAAACATTTAGTGGTTATTCTGTTGTAGTGTGGAACTACTACCTTCGCAATTCGGTAAGTAATGACAACTTGGAAAGCGGAAACAGTAGAAATACTCAGAAGAATGATAATGAGAAGAATTTGGGTGATATCTTTAGAGGAATACTCGCGTTGTTTTCCAATGAGACAAACAAAATAACAGAATCCGCAGATCCATCTGCAAATGAAAATCAACTCCATTTTGTGCGTGAGGTGGTGGGAGATGGAGGAACTCCATCCAATACGGTTGAATCTTCTACATCTATGATATCATCATCATCATCATCATCATCCGTACCATTTGTGGCCGCTTCTACTTGGCCAGCTGGAACTTCAAAATATGCGGCCATGACGATTGAACCTTCTTCCAATGGTAGTGCAGTTGTTGGTGGTCTGCTGCGGCAATTAGCAGATCGTGCAACCCATCAGTCACTTGTTCGTTGTGATCCTTTCGCATCTGCATCTATGAACTGTATGGGGGATCCAAGTTATTTGGGAGCGGCTTATCTGCGGGTTTTATTAAGTGCCTTTCTTCTTTTACCATCACCGTTGCCGCGATTACGTGTGGCTGTACTCGGCGTTGGTGGTGGATCACTACCATCTTTTCTTCAACAGTACTTCTCACAAGACATGACACGACTGGATTTGGTAGATGCAGAACCTCAATGTTTTCATGCAGCAGTAAATGATCTTGGGATGCGTGAGAGAATGCGTGGTGGTGTTGTTGCTTATCATATACGTGATGGGGCAGCATTCTTGCAAGATGTTGTTGGAGTTTCAGGTACTCATGTGAGGACGAGTGGCAGTCATTCCTCCTCACCTGTTATTTTTTCGGATGAGAAGGAAATATCTAGTGTGGGACCGCAAAAGGAATCTGGATTTGCACGACGATATGATGTTCTCTTTGTGGATCTTTTTGTTGGGAGTTCACCTCCTGTTTTTCTCTCTTCTGTTCCATTCCTATCATTATGTCATGAGTCTCTTTCTTCTGTTGGTGTAGCCGCATTTAATTTACCTGCCGCAGATCCTGTATTTATGGATAGTTGTCATCGAGTCTTTGGGCAACAGAATGTCTATCAAATCCCAGTTCCTGCCTCTGCAAATGTAGTAGTGCTTGCGAGGCGCACAACCACAACGCATGGGGATATAAATGAGGCGACACGTCTTTCAAAGCGACACTTTTGTTGGCGTGCAGAAGAGTTGCAAAAAACACACAAATTGCCTTTTGATTTATCGGGACATTTCCCATTATGGTGGCGTTTGTGGTGAGGAAGCATGGTGGAATGCAAAGACTCCTTTTTCTTTTTATACTTGGGAAATGGGAAACAGGGGGTGGTGGGCATCTGATACTTATTATTGTTGTTCTTACTATTATTATCATTATTATTATTATGATTATTATTATTGTTGAGAATGGGATACAGGAGTAGTTTCTACAGTGGTTACTGCCTGAAATGAGATCTTGTCTTATTTTTTTCTTCTTATTATCATTGTTTTTGAATCATATCGAGAAGAAAATATTATCCTTTTCTTTTGAGGAAAAGGAGGGGTGAGGTACCTCTATCTTTTTTTTTTCCATCTAACTAGCTACATCTTTATCTTTACCAATATATTTATGTGTAGAGGTGATTTTTCTTTTTTTTTTTTCTTATTTTACTATTTCAATGTTTTCATTTTTCATTTTATCTCACTTCCCTATTGTGTTTATTTTATTTTTATTATTATCTCTCTTTTTCTTTCTCTCTCTATCTATATTTATATATATATATGTACATGTATTTGCTTATTTTGTTTAGAAAAGCCTTATATCATGACCTCAGCTCTTTCAGCGGCACGTGCTTGTGCCCATACCATTCTTTGGGAAAGTCTCCGCTTCTCTGCATTTGAGGGTGCCATTCCACACATATTATTAGTAGTGGATCGAACACCATGTACACTACAGAAAGTACTAGTGGAAGGATATCTGCAGGAATTACAACATTATAATGCTACTACTATCACAACAACTACAACAAAAACGTCTACTTCTACATCACCGTTATCACTATCACCCTCATCGGGGACGTTACGCATTGATCTTGATCTCTCTGCCACTACACCATCTTTCACATCAGGATTAGATTCTAATTGGAAAGTAACATGTGGTGTCGTACCATTTCATGCAGAAACATTTCTTGATGATGTGCGATTATTACAGGCATTTCTGCGTCAATGTGGAAAACCTACTGAATCCGTCGATGATAATGAGTCACGCGAGACCCGATGGTCAGAGAGTAAAATGTTAAGAGTCTTTGAATCACTGGCGCCACTTCTAGCGCCTGATGATGATAGCATCAAAAATAATAATAATAATAATAATAATAATAATAATAATAATAATAATAATAATAATAATAATGAGAATCACAACGACAGTAGTGGATCTGATGGGGCATGGAAGGATAAACTTTTTCGTGCACTCCGTGAAGGTCCACCACGTGAATTATTGGGATGCATTCTTATTGAACGTAATGCCTTTCAGCTTGAATTAGAGAAATATCGTTTACGGCTGGATCTTTTTAAAATGGGTTTGCGTGTTGCCGAACACAATCATTTGGAAATAATGAGTCGTGCAGCAGATGCATTGGCCGCTGATAATCATCATTGTAAGAATGGAAAAGAATGTTGCTTGGAAAATGAAGAGATTATAAACTACATGCGTTCGTGTTCTTTACAACCACATGTTTCAGAGTCTATTGGACGAGCTATTGCAGATTCTATTGATGCATGGAGTTGGGAAAAGAGACGAACTCCTCAATATGGAGACGAATTGGTGAAAGTGGTTCCACCAGAATCTTTTCATGCAGCTCTGGGGAATAAGGATTTATGGTCTGTTTACAGTGATGGTGTGCTCCTGTGGAGGGAGGAAGAAGACGCTTGCAAAGATAACAAGAATAACGTCTGTAATAGCATCAATAATAATGATAATAATAATAATTATAATAATAATAACAAAGATCATGAGAAGGAGTCCACAATAGTAGATAAGCATCCTGCTACTGCTACTACTACTACTACTACTTCTGAACCATTCGTTATTACAGGTCCAGGTGCACCACTTCGCATCATCTGTCATGATGGACAAGTGTTGAGTTTCGATGGTGGGATGGAGGATTGTCTGCTTAACACGGGTTACTACACAGCTGCACACCTGCCGGATCGTAATACTGTAGAGGGTCATCGCCAGCGGTTTCCAGTACATGATAACACCGATAGCGAAGGGAGAAATAAACAGAGTTTAACCATGAAGAAGGAGGAGAATGAACGCCATTTTGAAGAAGAAATAGATGGGGTAAGGAATATGGAAGCAGGAGTAGGGGACTCATTACCAGATGCAGATAAACGTGGTCGCATGAAGAAGAAGGAATATCTTTCCATGTTAAAGCGAGCCGGCAAAAAACCAGGAGCGACAGCAGCAACAACAACAGAAGGTGGTAGTCGCAAACGTACAACTTCACCATCAGAAGATGTTTGCGGTGGCGATGGGGCGTGTGTGGGGAGCAGCATTGGTGGTACATTCCCTGTGGGTGAAGTAATCAGTGAGTCTTTTGATCTCAGTAAACTGAGTGGGACATGTACTGTTTTTGCGTACCCGAATCTATTTAAGGAAGTTACCATGGCACAACCACAACCAATAACACTTCGCATTGAGCGTGGAATTGTAACCGATATCTCTGATAATGCCCCGGCAGAATTTGTGGAACTCATTGAACTTGTACGGCAATGCGAGGGGGCGTGTTATGTGCGGGAGCTTGGCATTGGCCTCAGTCCACATGTTGGTAAAGGCCGCGTGGTGAGTGATGTGACGGCGTTTGAGCGGCAGTTCGGCGTGCACGTCTCACTTGGCCAGCGACACCCGTTGTTTGTTAAGCAGGCGGTGAAGCGAAATCCCGATTCGACCATCGCAACAGCCACAGCAGCGGCGGGTGGTGGGGAATTGCGGGTGGAGGGGCCGGTGTTAAAGCGCAAGGCAGGGAAATATCACATTGATGTATTTCTCGATGCCGCGAGACTGGAGATGGGGGCATTTGCAGTGGACTTTACAAAAGGTGTTCGCAGTACTCAACCAGATACTGTTGCGGTGAATGTATAAGAGAAAAAAAAAAAAAAACAATAATCAGGAAATAATAAGAAAAGAAAAAAAAAGAAGGAAAGAAAGAAGTAGAGAATTCATAATATACCACTTGGGGTTTGGTTCATCGCTACACAGCCATATATATATATATATATATATATATATGGATAGCCTTTTGTATGTGTCTCATAGACGCACACACACACATATGGATGCGTTGTAGTAATATGATTTGTTTGTTTTTTTCTTTTTGGGGGGTTTCCTGCTGCGTGTTTCTCTGATATATACTTTGGTATATACTCTGATATACGCATACTTTGTGAGTCTTTACACATCACTTTTTCTCCTGGATTAAAACTGCAAGGAGAAAAAAGAAAAAGAAAGGGGAGGAGAGACCACACCTGTGGAAGTCGTTTGAAAGAAGAAGAAAAAAAAAGTCATTCTCTTCTTCTTCATTCAACCTCTACCTCTTACATAGAGCACTAGCAAAAAAATATTATCATTATTATCATCATTAGAGCTCCTATTAACCTAATTACAGATACAAGTACATATTATTTCTTTTTAATTTCTTTTCACCTTGTGTAGTTTCACTAAAAAAAAAAAAAAAATCACTACCGACACATGCGTTGTAGTAGACGATTCCTTTGCGCAAAGGTAACAGAACTACTCTATGATGGTGAGTGCCAACTCACACGCGTAAAAGGCGAACGCGTTGGTCTTCTTTCACTTAACCGCCCTGCACGTCGAAATTCCATTGGTCGCACACTATTACAAGAACTACACGATAGGATTGAATATTGCAGTAACCCTGCGAATGAAATTCGTTGTCTCGTGCTGGCGAGCAGCGTAACTGGTGTGTTTTGCGCTGGTTCCGATCTGAAAGAACGTCGCAGTATGTCTGTTGACGAATCACGGATCTTTGTACAGAGACTGCGTGATACCTTTAATGAACTAGAGGATTTGTCTATTCCAACTATCGCTGCCATTGAAGGTAAAGCACTAGGCGGGGGATGTGAACTAGCATTATGTGCCGATATACGTGTGGCTGGTGCGGATGCGGTGTTTGGATTGCCGGAAACGAGTCTTGCCATTATTCCTGGCGCTGGTGGGACCTATCGTGTGCCGCGGGTGATGGGCTACAGTCGTGCCTTGGAGTTAATTCTCACCGCAGAGTCTATCAACGCCGCTCGGGCTTTACAGTGTGGACTTGTGAATGAAGTGACTCCCGCTGGTGCGGCGGTGGAGGCCGCATTGCGAATGGCACAACGAATAGCGTCTAATGGGCCAATAGCCGTTGCGGCCGCGAAGGCGGCGGTGCGTGGGGGATATGGACAAACACGGGATGTGGGAATGGCAGCGGAGGCGAGGCAGTATGATGTGGTACTGCAGACACAAGACCGACTGGAAGGATTGCGGGCTTTTGCAGAGAAACGACCACCCCAATATGAAGGAAAGTGATGAGAGAGATGAATTGACAAGCGTTTATTGATTTTGTTTGTTTGTTTGTTTGTTTTTGAATTTGATTTTTCTTTTCTTATCATTTCTTTCATGCGTTCGTTTTTTTTTTTTTTTATTTTGTTTATTGGACTTTGCCAGTATATATATATATAACGTCTTGCTACTCTCGCTATAAGTTATTATTATTATTATTATTATTATTATTCTCTTTATTGTTACTGTGATTGTTATCACTGATTAAATATACACTTCTACCACCACATCCGATACAACTCTTGTTATTTGCCATCATCATTTTTTTTTTTTTTTTTTATTGTTTACCTTCACCTACCTATAACTAATCCTTACAAGCAGCAAGAAAAAAAAACACAAAACCACACAGAGGGGAAAAACAAACCAGCAATTGAGCAAACGAATAGCTAACAAAGGCAACAAGTGAAAAGAAAAAGAAAAAAGAAAGGAAAAGCACGAAAGTAGCCATTCTAGAAAAAAAAAAAGAAACAAGAACAAGAGTAACAAGAACAACAAGAACAAACATACACTCATAAACCGACTGACCAAGAGCTGTTGTAATGCCTTCTGAAGGTGACTGGAAGAAAGGTTTAATGGTGCCTAAGAAGGACACCCGCAAAAAGACCGAAGATGTTTTGTCGCGGCGCAATGTGACCTTTGAAGAGTACGGCCTCCGACGCGAGTTGCAGATGGGAATTTTTGAAAAAGGCTTTGAGCGTCCGAGTCCTGTGCAGGAGGAGGCCATTCCCGTGGCTCTGCAGGGTAAAGACGTGCTAGCGCGTGCGAAGAACGGCACTGGCAAGACGGCTTCTTTTGTAATTCCCGTTCTCGAGAAGGTGGACACGCGTGAGCCGCACGTGCAGGCGCTTCTGATGGTTCCCACCCGCGAGCTTGCGCTGCAGACGGCGCAGGTGACGAAAGAACTCGGCAAACACATTGCCGGTCTGGAGGTGATGGTGACAACGGGCGGCACAACTTTACGTGATGATATTCTGCGGCTGCAGAGTCCCGTGCATGTGTTGGTGGCGACGCCCGGGCGGGTGGTGGATCTCGCGAGTAAGCGGGCGGCGAAGTTGGACCGCTGCCGCATCATTGTGCTTGATGAGGCAGATAAACTGCTTTCACAGGAGTTCACAGAGTTGATGGAGGAACTCTACACATACCTCCCAGCAGACAGACAATCCCTGCTCTTCTCCGCCACCTTCCCACTTACGGTGAAGGAGTTTGCCGATCGACACCTGCGTAATCCGTATGAGATTAATCTTATGGATGAACTCACACTGCGAGGTGTCACACAGTACTACGCCTTTGTGGAGGAGCGACAGAAGATTCACTGTCTTAATACTCTCTTTAACCGACTCCAGATTAATCAGTCCATCATCTTCTGCAATAGCGTGAACCGGGTGGAGCTGCTCGCGAAGAAGATTACACAGCTCGGCTATAGCTGCTACTACATTCATGCCCGCATGCAACAACAACACCGAAACCGCGTCTTTCACGACTTCCGCGAGGGACATTGCCGCAATCTTGTCTGCTCTGATCTCATCACACGTGGTATTGATATTCAGGCTGTGAATGTGGTGATTAACTTTGACTTCCCCAAGTATGCCGAGACGTATCTTCACCGTATTGGCCGTTCTGGTCGTTTTGGTCATCTTGGATTGGCCATTAACTTTGTAACGCACGAGGACAGTCAAAATGTCTACCGCATTGAGGCAGAACTGGAGACCGTCATTAAACCCATCCCGGCGGAAATTGACCCTGAACTGTACGCCCCATAAGAAGAAGAAAAAGAAAAATGAGAATGATGATATGATATGATATGATGATGATGATTGAAAAGGAAGCGGGAGGAAGGGGTGGGGGAAAGAGGAGAGAGAGAGTCTTTGTGTGTGTTTGAGAGAGAGACGGAGAAAAGGAAGAAAGTGGAAAATATGAAAATTGGATGAAAGGGAAAAGAAAAAGAAAATACAATGAAAAAAAAAAAGACAATGAAAATGACCAGAAGAAGAAGTAGTCGAAGAAGAAGAAGAAGTGAGGTGTAAAGATGATGAAAAAGAGAAGAAGGGAAGGAAAGAGGAAATGAAAAGAAAGAAAAAAAAGAAAGAAAGAAAGAAAAAAAAAAGAAAAGAAAAAAAGAAAATGAATAGAAAGAGGAAAAGAAAAGAGAGAAACACAAAGAGGAATGAATAATGAGGGTGACGGTGAGGAACATGGCACGGCCGACAGAGAGAAAGAGAGGAAGAAAGAACAGGAGGAAAACACATCGACGTTAGAAAAAAAAAAAGAAAGAAACAGGAGAGAAAGGAATGAAGAAGAAAGAGAAAAAAGAAAGAGAGAAAGAAGAAAGAGAAGAACGGAACGCGGAAGAATGATAGGCGGAACGGGAAAAAAAGAAACTAAACCAATATAGAAAAAAAAAAAAGTAATAAGAGAGAGAGAGAGAAAGCCTATGCATACATACAACGATACACACAGGAGGAAAAAGGAGAAAAAAAAGGGGGGAAGAAATGGAAAAGGAAATATGCCTTTGCCCACATCATACACTTAAATTATATATATATATATATATATATATATATATATAAGGGCGCGTGCGTATATACGCATATTTACCGAGCGGGAGAAATGAAAACAAACAAACAAACAAAAAGAAAGAAAGAAATAGTAAAGATAACGCCTTAAATACCCAAAGAAGAAGAATAACAATAACAATTAACAGCAACAACAACAACGGTGATACGACCACTTTGAAGTGGGGAGGTGAATGAAGTTAAACACGGCGCAGACTGGGGAAAGCGCAAAGAGATACAAAGTGGGAAATAGCGAAAAAAAAGGGAAAAGTAAAGGAGCAGGAATTACATTAAAAAAAAAGATGACAATAGAAGATATAGTCTGAGAGAAAAAAAAAAAGAACAACTTGAAGAACGAAAGCAAAAGAAAAAAAAAAACAAATAAACAAACGGAGGACTCTGTATGTGTAGACTGAAGAAGGATAATATATATATATATATATATATATAGCGTGTGTGTGTATAATGAACATGAGTGGGACGTGAATACACACACGAAGGCACAGTGATGATGAGGAATAGGGCCCATTATCCCTGAAGAGATGAGAGGAGTGAAGGGGAGAGGGGTATCTATTCTTGCTAGAGACATTAAAGACTTTTTATGTAGAGTTTAAAGAAAAAAGAGAAAAAGACAATAAAATAAAAGAATATCTCCAATGATGATGTTGAAGAAGAAGAAAAACATTTTTCAATGAAAGCCAAAAAGGTGATGAGAATTGAGGATTAGATAAATGTGACCAATAAATAATTTGCGTTAGTCTACATACATCATATATTCTCTCCCTTCTTTCTTTTTCTTTATTATTATTATTATTATTATTATCATTATAATTGTCTTTTTCTTCTTTTTCGCTCATACATAAACACAAACGCATACACATTTGAAACATCATCCCCACACTTGCAAATATACGCACACGCAAGTCTATCACAAACGCCATACGTACAGTAATATATATATATATATATATATATATATATATATATATATATATATAGTCTTCTTATTTAATTATTAATTTGCTTTCTCCCTCTACATCCCTCTCCCCCTTTTTTTTTTATCTATTTATCTTTTTATCTATTTATCTATGAATAGGAGTGGGGAACGGCAATATATGGCCAATGGAGAGCCCCTTCCTAATGCATCACTATCATCTCCTGGAGGAAAATAATTCGCCAGGCGGAGTTGGAAGAGATTTACGAAAAAAAGAAAAAGAAGAAATATGTGAGAAATCAAAGAGAAAGATAATAAAGAAAAGAAAAAAGAAAAAAGGGGGATGAGATGAGAGGAGATTATGAATGAATACATTTTGATGAAAGAAGGAAAGAAAGAAATGAAGAGCATTAAGAGAGAGAAAAGAAAAAAAAAAAACAATCGGGAAGAATCATATGTGATATTGAGCACAAATGTTTATGGTTCTGTATAATATAAATAAAAAAAATAAATAAACCAAAAATACACCAGGAATACCACTACCAGCAGCAACAACAACAACAATGAATATCATCATATAGAAGTAACGATGAGAGGAGAGAAGAGAAGATAAATTTAATTCGTCTATTACGACTATACATTCTCCTCTTTTTTTTTTTCTTTTTTCTCTCTTCTTTTCTCTTTTTCTCTTTTACTTCCCTTTCTTCTCTTGCCGCTATTACTGTGGTTGCCGTTGCTCTGTTTTTAAGCACCACGGGAAGAGTAGTAGCCGCATGAGGGGAGGAGGGGGCTCTCTGTGTAATAAAGAGAAAAGAAGAGAGAGAAAGAAAAAAGGAAAAAGAAGTTGTGATGAAGAACAGGAAGGGAAAGGAAAGGAGGAGAGAGAACTGAATGAAACGACTGGGAAATAAATTGAATGAATGAATGGAAGAAAGAAAACAGCAAAAAGTAAAGAAAAAATAAAAAAAGAGAGATGGACAAACATACGAACATACATGCATATACATACGTATGCCTATGTCTATTTGTCCACCTGTATCTATATATATATATATATATGGATATCGTTATGAATCTAATGGGGAAAGCCAAACAAAAAAGAAGAAGAAAAGAATAAAAAAGGAAAACAGTATGTGACTCTATCCGTGTATGTATAACGGTTTGCAAATGTGCGTATCGGTTTTTGTGAGTCTAAGAGGATTGAGTGGAATAAACGGGAGAAGATGTCTATATATATATATATATATATATATATAGACAAGGGTAAACTCTCCCTAATGTGTATTTCGAGAGTTCAATTGGGCTCTCCCATACATACTCCCATTCTTTTGACATTTCTCTTTCCCTCACACTTGTATTTGAGAGAATCAATAATAATTAATTAAAAAAACAAAAAGAAAAAAAAACACACGGAATCACATTTCCTTTTTTTTTTTTTGTTTTTCTTTTGTCTGTTCTCTTTTTTTTCTTTTTGTTGTTTTCAATTACCTTCTATTATATTTCCAGTGCTGCTGCTCCTCCTCCTCCTTCTTCTCTCTGTTGGGATGAATGGATGTTGTTGTTGTTTTCTGCGGTGTGGATTCCCCCCCCAGAGGAACTGAACAGAGACGATTTTTAGTCGTGTGCGTGGAAGAAATACGGAGATGATTGGGAGAAAGGTGGAGGAAATCATTCTCTTTAGAAATTCCCTTTTTTTCTTTTTTATTATGTTGTTTTTCTTTTTTTTTTCTTTTTTTTTCTTTTTTTTTGAGGGTTTGAGTTCTTTTTTTTTTTTTCTTTTTTTTCTTTTTTTGTAACAATATTATTTTTGTGCGTTTTTGTTTGTTTGTTTTTATTATTTTTGTTTGTTTTCTTCTTTTTTCTTTTTCTTTTCTTCTCCCTTTGCAAAGGAGATACTTCTGCCCTTTATGCTCTTATTTTTCTTTCCCTTCTTTTCCCCCTAACGTTTGTTTTACTTCTCTTCTTGTACCGTCTGTGTGTGTGTGTGTGTTTATTACTATGATTATGATTGTTGTTGTTGTTATTATTATTATTGATATTATTATTATTATGATTATTATTATTATTATTATTATTATTATTATTATTATTATTATTTGGCGTTTCTTTCATTTTCTTTCTTTTTCTTTTATTATTATTGTTATTTATGATTACTGTAATTGATTACAATTATTTTCATGAATGGAGTCCCCGGCGTGTGCATGAAGTAATAGATCTATAAATAAATAAATATATATATATATATATATATATATATATTGATATGTATGTATGTTTGTGTATATCAATCATATCTATTTCTTCCCTTCCCAACCTCCAATGCTGTTGAGTTTCCACAACTGAATGAATGAATGAATGAATACTTTTTTCTTTTCTTTTCTCTCTTTTTAACTTTCTATTTTTCGCTTTATCACTCCATTCTTTCTCTGTTCACGTCTCTCCTTTTTTTAGAAGAATTTGTTATTTCTCTCTCTCTTTCTCTCTCCATGTGTGTGTTTATGTTTTCTCCGAGTCTGGGAGGAAGAGCAGAGAAACAAACAAGAAAGAAACAAAAACAAAAAAAAAAAGTAAAAAATAAAAAAAAAAAAAGATAAAAACAAAAAAAAAATGAGAAGAAAAGAAAAGAAGAAGAAAAAAAAACCGAGTGGAGTATTTGCGTGGAACTGTATCTTTGCGGCTTACAATGCACTCCTGCAATGTTTTTTTTTTATTATTATTGTTATTATTATTACTATTGTTATTATTATTATTGTTATTTGGTTTTTGTGTGTGTGTGTCTCTTTCTCTTTCATATTCATTCATTCTATCTTTCTTTCTCTCTCTCTCTTTTTTTTTTTTTTTTTTTTTACTCTTTCTGCATTTGTGTGTGTGTGTTGTTTTTTTTTTTTTTCTATTCTTTTCTTTTCTTTTCTTTTCCTCTTTTGTGTGTGTGTGTTCTTGTTGCTATTGGTGTTGGTGGGCTATCCCTCCTTCTCACTATGTATATATGTATGTGATCTCTTTCTTCTTACTCATTTACCATCCTTCTTTTCTTTTCTTCTCTTTCTTTTCTTTTCTTCTCTTTCTTTTCTCTGTTATTATTATTATTATTATTATTATTATTATTATTATTATTATTATTATTTCTACAATGGAGAGAGAAATAAAAGTAGAGTAACGAACAAACGGACGAATACCCGTTAATTCCCGTTGAATGACCGAACGAACAGCTGTACTGCCGTCGCCCATTCATACACTCAACAGCGAGGAACACACAAACACAAAAACAAAAACAACAATAATAATAAAAACAGGAAGAAGTGAAGATGTGGAGATGTTGGAAAATGGAGATGTGAAGAGACGGCGGGTGGATCATTCTCACTCCACAGAGGAGACACCCGTGCGAATGATTTCCATCCACACACAACCAAAAGAAGAAGAAGAAGAAGAAAACGAAAAAAAGGAAAAAAAGGAAGAAGAAGAAGATCAATCAAAACAACATGAACAACATCCATTAACTTCTGATAATGGCATTTCCCCAGAAGTAGACGACAATGAAGAAGAAGAGGAGGAAGAGGAGGAAGAAGATCTCAACATGGAGGAACACGCCCTCTTCTCCAGTCCTCTCGGATTAACACCCCACCCAAACCATATAAACAATATAAACCATATAAACAATATAAACAATATAAACAATATAAATAAGAAATCCTCCTCATCCTCATCATCATTGCCGAATGGACAAACATCAAACAGACGGGAATCATCGCTGGAGCGCCGCAGTCGCCGACCGCCGGATGTACGCGGCGCCGTCACAACACTTCGCTCTCTCGCCCAACTCGAGACTTTTCTCCACACGCCGTCCTCACCACACGATGGAAATAATAGTGCGATGTCTGTGAACTGCACATCCCTTGCCAGTCTGCAGCCGCTGCGTAGAGGCGAGACTGTTATTGTGATTCTCCACAATGGACGCAGTCATGTGCGGGAGTTGCTGCAGCACACAACAGAGAAACTTTCACAATGCCGTATTTTCCGTTTGGATCTCAGTGCCCTCCCGCCGTGTGAGTATGAGACCCGGGATGATTCCTCTGCATCATCCACACACCACCACAGACATGAGAAAACGGAAATAACACCAGAAAAGAAAGAATGTGTTCATAAAGACTCCGCTCAATTACCACTTCCAGTGGAAGAGATGGAGTTGCAGGAAACAGATTACGCCCCATCCTTTTCTTCTCAAATCTCACTCGGCACGGAACGTGTTATGCAGCGGGTGTGTGGACTTCTCCGCGTAGATGAGATATTAAACCCAGACACACATCACAGTAATGGATCTCAACAACAACAACAACAACAGGACTCTATACATTCCACACCACCACAACAGCAACAACAACACCGCAGCGGCAAACGTGAAGAGTTGATGTTGCCTGCAATGGTGGTATGGCGTGCGGAGGGCGGCTCACCAGACGAATATGTGCATCTCAATAATGATCCAAACACCAACAGTGATCATCTGGATAATAATAATAATAATAATAATAATAATAATAATAATAATAATGGAAAGAGTCCGGAGTGTAAGCCGGCGATGATTCCCACTCCTCCACCTGGAAGACCATTGGTGGTGAAACAACTCACATCCGTAGATCAACTCCATTCTCTTTCTCTGTTCACACCCGTTTACACCGTAACACATCTTCTTCGTACTATTGCGAAAACAGCACTTTTATCAACAACAGCAGCGGAAGTTTCAAATTCCCGTACATTTATTTACTTTGGGGCCTCCTGGTGTCCGCCGTGTATGCGTATTGTAAATGCCCTGCCGGCGATGATACAAGAAGATCTTCCACGCAATATCACCTGCACGGTAAAGGCAGATATGGATCTCGCCACGCCTCTCTTTGAGTTCTTTGGTGTGGAGATTATTCCCTCATTTGTGATTCTCGATAATGATATTCTCCGCAGTGCTGGTGATTGGAATGCGATCTGTCATCCTTCTCATCATTCCTCTTCGCTGCCGGAAGAAGTGTTGGCACCACTGCGGGATGCCCTGCGACGGGCGGAGGTTGGACGCATTCAAAACTCCCAACGAGTGCTCGTACGGGCATTTATAGAAAAACACGCGAGTGAACTGAAGTTTGATGATGACTTTTGAGTTGTTGTTACTGTTATTATTATTATTATTATTATTATTATTCTTGGGAGGAGAATTGGGTTTATGTGTGTGTAGTATCATTTCTTCTTCTTACTTGTTTATTATGAGTATTGTTTTTGTTGTTGCTGTTCCTCTACGGAGATCCCATGATCTCTCTGCATATGTGTGTATATAGATGGATCTTACATAATCAACGCAGTAATAATGAAGGGAAACGAAAACAACAAAAAGAAGAAAAAAAATATATATATACACTCACCCCGCATAAATAATTTACATTATATATATACATTACACCTCCTATATATATATATGCGTTCGTTCTTACTCACTTTTATTTTATTTTTTTGTTTCGGGAGAAACATGAGAAAGTGGACATGAGACGTTAAATCATAGAAAACATAGAAGACTCTTCTTTCTCCTGCTTAATGCCGTATTATATATATATAAACAATGCGTGCATGTGTGTGTGAGTGAAAAAGGTCCACAACCATTGAATAGAAATAAAAAGAAATATATATATATATATATATATATATATGTTTGTATTGAAGTAAATATATGTCTATTAGTGAGAGTAGTAAGAGTTAAAACTGGCGAAAAGGGGTAGAAGAAGCAAACACGAAAGGAGAAAGAAAGAAAAAGAAAAGAAAGTGCGGGTACGAATTGATTGCATACATTATGAACAGATGAATGTGTCTTTCTTTGCGTGGGTGTAAAGAAGAGAGCAAAGGGAAATAACAATAATAGAAAGGGGGGTGTAAAGAAAGATAAGAAAAGGAATTTTTTTTTTAATTCTTTTTTTTTTTTCTTTCTTACCCCCACCTCAACCCTTATCTTCCCCATATATATATATATATATATATATATTTATATAAAAAGCAAATATTTTTCTTTTTTAATTATAGAATATTAATCTGGTGAAAAAGTAATAATATGAATATTGGCCATATTAGTGAGAATATCCGTATACGACCAATATTGCCCTTATTATTATTATTGTTATTATTATTATATTACTAGCCATTATTGGTATTGTTGGAGTCGTTTTTTTTTTT